GCTCCGCGCCCGTGGAGGGGGCGCTGGGCCGACCCTCCCACCCGTACCGATACCTACAGGCACACGCACCCTTTCTCCTATCGACCCCCCAGGGGCGCACGTAGACTTCGGCGTCCTTTTGCCGATGAACTGCATGAAGGACCCGTTAAGCCTGGAGCGCCTGGGAGCTGGGAATAAGCTCTGCTCCTCCTCACCTTCCTCCTCCTCCTCTGCATCATCTTGCCACCACCAGCAACCCGCGCTGGCCATGGCGACGGCGCTGGCGCCGGGGCAGGCGCGATCTTCCCTGGAGTCCGCCAAGCACCGGCTGGAGGTGCACACCATCTCCGACACCTCCAGCCCCGAGGCCGCAGGTAAGAAGGGGCGAGCGGAAGGGACCCCTGCCTTGCCCCGGCTCCGTCAGCCCCGCAGCCCATGTTGCGCCTTCACCCCCGCCCCTCTGCTCGGGAGCGTCCCGCACCCGGGCCGAGATCCGTTTCGTGGGTTTTTTTCGCGTGCGGTGTCTGTGTGTCGGCGTATAAAAGATAAGGGCATGTGTAAGGATGGGCGTCTTACACGATATAGATCGAGGAGTAATATGGGTATGGATGAACGAGTAATATGAGTATAGACGGACTAACAATACGGGTATAGATAAGCGAACGGTGTGGATACTGATAGGTGAATAATTTGGATACAGGCAGAAGAATAACACGATACAGGCAGGTGAATAATACGGATATAGACAGGCAAATAACACAGGTTACATTTATACTGATGGGAGGATAATATGGATACAGATAGGCGAAAATCTAGTGCATAACGATGGGCGCAAAACTTGCATGCGGAGAGGCGGTTCTGTGGCGCTCGGCGGCCGTGGCTGCTCCTCCCCGGCCGAGGGTGTCCGCGGGGCGCAGAGGGGCCGCGGCGGCGGGGCAGCCGGGCGGGTTAATCATTACACGGCCGAGCCTCGTCACGGGCCGTCTGCGCGGTGCGGCAGGGGCAGGAACGTGCGCTTCCCCGGCCGCCAAAGAGGAGGCTTCGGAGGCTTCGTCGCCCTCGTTTTTCGCCTTGTTGTTCTGTTTGGGTTTTTTGTTGGTTTTTGTTTTTTCCCCCCTTACAGAGAAAGATAAAAGCCAGCAGAGCAAGAACGAAGATGCGGGGTCCGAGGACCCTTCCAAGAAGAAGAGGCAGCGGCGGCAGCGGACTCACTTCACTAGCCAGCAGCTGCAGGAGCTGGAGGCCACCTTCCAGAGGAATCGCTACCCGGACATGTCCACCCGGGAGGAGATCGCTGTCTGGACTAACCTCACCGAGGCCAGGGTTAGGGTAAGTGCCCACACGACACCCCGGCTCCGAGCAGCGACGGTCAGGGAGTCGGGAAGAATGGGAGGAGGGCTGTAATATTTGCAGCTGCTTTCGATTTCGGTTTGTATGAGAACTTCAGAGGCTTTGCACAAAAGCAGGGCCAAGCAGGACATTTCTGTCAAGGCGAGACAGATTGGGATCTTTTTCTCTCCGGAATATGGTTTGCTTGCACGTTTCTCCCTCACCGTGCAATGCGTCCTGCTCCTTTTGATCGAAACGCTAATGAAAACATTAGCCAAGAAAGCAGCTTGGAGCAGGCTGCAACCTGCCCTGCCTCTAATGAGTAAAAGATGTAAAATACACAAGGGCTTTTGCTTCACTCCGAGGCACTCCCGACGTGCCCTTCCTTGCATTTTCTCTTTCTTTTGGTTTCCCAATT